CAGGGTAACTCGGGGTAACAAACAATTTTATTATCTGTCCAAATAATTTTATTTCTGTCAACAATATATATATAAATTCGTCGATTACATAAATTGACAAAACATGATTCCCAAACAGTTGTTAAATTAAGCCGATATTTTAAATTAATCCTAATAGTTTTTGATGAAAACCATTGTTGTCCATCTGCAGAAACCAAATAATTTTTTCTGATCATTCGCACATCTTACATTTACATTGCTTCATTTTAAGGGTAATTTGCACGCAGAAAAATATTTCCTTAAGTGTTTCAATATAAATCTACGATCCAATCGAACTATCAGCCGGGTCAGCCGCCAATCTTTACGACGATGCGACAACACGAGTACTACTGGTGGGCACATAACCGAAAAGTTAGCTTCGATAACCGTTAATCCACTAACTGATAAATTAGCTTTTATAACGCTAAACCGATGAATCGCCAAAAAATTTAACTGACTTTACTGCTAACTTTTAGTATATCAATAACATTATAACTTTGGCTTACTTACTTGGGGGGTGGGGGCTCGAAAATTCAGAAAAACAGACCTAGAGAGCTGAACTTTTAATATGTTGTAGCATTGACAAGAAGCGTCCAAAAAAGTGTAGCATGCCAAAATCAAACGATGATTAAGATGTACATAAATAATTATATTTACAAATGAAATTAAGCACTATTTGACATACAACATGCAGTTATAAAACGAATAATATAGTATTAAACGCATAAGAAGCATTGAGAAATAAAAACACAAAGGTAAAAGCAGGGTTCCACTCTGCTTTTACTCTGGCTTGCCCTTCATCTCCTCGAGTTGATGATTGTTGCCCCTGGATGAGAGGTTGGCTTTCTTCTAATCCACTGACTCAAAGACAAAGAAGTCCTCTAGGTGGGGCCACGGGTTCTGAGGCCTGTCATGGCAGACCAGTGTTGCCAGTTTTTTCTTGGCGAGAATACCACTTTGCCTAGCTCAAAATACCAGAAATTCTATTGTTCAAAAACAAATTACCTCCAAATTTACTGAAACTATTCGTCAGAAACGTTGGTTAGAAACAGAGACAACTTTTATCTTATTTACTGTGCATTTATCAGGCTTGACGATAATTAGCCAAATTGAACACGTTATATTTTTTTCCTCTGTTTGGAACATTTTGACACTTTTCTTTTCCTGTGTTTGATTACATTGACACTTTTTCCTTTTTTATCGCAGTGTGGCACTTCTTCCTCTTCGCTCAACATGAGCAAGCCACGGTAACAGGTCATCTTCCTTTTGCTCATTTTCGTACAAGCTTGCATATTGCATTTACCAATATTTCGGGTGTGATCACTTGTTGCGGTTGAGCAGATAGCTTTTGGTCCGAATAGCGGCCTCCAGTACCTTATTTGAAATTTTATTTGTTGCTTGTTTTTCACATAGGTGACTTGTGAAAACACTCGCTCCACGAATGCATTGGAGACAGGTCAAAGTAGACTAAGTGCTGCAGAAGGCAGCCAGTTCTATGAATGGATGATGATTTTCAAAATCAGTGAAATATTGAATGGCACCCCAGAATTCAAGTGGCACTCTAGAATTCAAAACTGCCAAACAAAAATGGTGGAGCTTGCGTCGCAGAGATCCGTTCGACAACCTTACTGGCCATATCATCACTGATCAGTAATCAATCAAGGATCATCACTCTCGTGCTTATATTGCACTAAGCACTTTTGTTAAATGTTAACAATTAGATTGAGGTTATTTCATCAAGCGGTACACTCGCGGTTCCAAAAATGGCGGGAAACCTCTAGTCGCACCGCTCTGAAGGTAATCTATATTATCGACGCCTACGCTGGATGAAGTTCAACCTTCAGAGGTGGAATTTAATGCAGTAAATTTGCAATAAGTCAGAAAATACCAGATTTAGGCACATATACCACATATATATCCTTGCTGCTGCGCGGGCGAAAGCGCAGGGAATTTATAGAATGCTGTGCCAAGCATATTCGGAACCGTCCCCTCTATTCTTTGGAGGGTCGAGTTTGGTATCCGCGACCGGCATACAGCAAGGCGATCTTTTTGGCCCTGCTTTATTCTCTTTAGGAATTGACGAGGTGGTACGCCGGGTGAACACTGAGTTTAACGTTTGGTATTTGGATGATGGATCTTTGGGCGGTAAACCAGAGACGGTTCTCCGGGCAGTACAAAAACTCGTTGAGGACTTTAGAGCCGTAGGGCTGAAGGTAAACCAGGGGAAGTGTGAACTGATCATACTGAACCATTCGAGAGAGGAAGAGCTCGAGACTGAGGAGATGTTTCGGGGGGTGTTGCCAACACTAAAACCTGTCTCTTATACACATCTAGATGTGTATAAGAGACAGTATCTAGGCCGTGGGTCGAACCAGCCCTCGGTCGAACGGCCACTTGTCGAAGGACGATAAATTTTGGAACAGAACTATGCTATCTGAAACCTAACCTTAGATGCGATGAACGTAAAATTACGTAATTTAACGATGCCTGGAAGTCATATTCGATCCGCAGCCTGGTGGTGCACGGCAGGTGGTGGTCAAGGCCGGAAGAGGACAAAGCCGAGTGGTGCACGGCTGACTGGTGTAGGTCCGGAGAGATCCAAGGCGTTCGATTCAGGGCTTATTGGTGCACAAAATTGGTGGTGCACGGCTGCGCTCCCATAAGAGGCAGCGGGACGAGCTGTGTCCCTTGACCACAACTATGCAGCGCGGTCACAGCAATGTAGTCCTTTATGTTTTAGTCACTCCGGTGTACATCTCCACCTTTTCACAAGAGGCCCTTATGGATTTAAGAAATATTTACCACCTACATAAATACTATCAACTAATGAAATAAATAATGCCAACACCAACACGCACAATGCTACCGTCGTTCAATGCTCAGATTTCTGAAGGATATATATTTTTTATAAGTTAAACAATGTCGTCATGATTAGAATATCAATAGCACAACCTATCCACTGGCTTAACTACCCGACCATATCTCGAATGATACACAGGCTTTTTATTCGATATTAGACATTGTGGGGAGTCGCCCTGCAGCGGCGCTCCAACAACGTCAGGTCGGTCCGCACAGCGCTCCTCGACACCACTAGTCAACACATGTGGCGCTCCAGCAGTTTCAGCTGCCCCGGCCACCGGCGTCCTTAACCTCAGAGGCAGCACAGGGCCAAACATCCTGCGCCATATTTGCTGATGGTACAACTGGGTCAGGTATAGCTTGCAGAAACTTTCTGTTGCGAACCAGGTACGACGAGCTCCTTTGCAGCGCTGTAATCGTGTAATATCACTCCACTCTTTATCGTGCGGTAATCTGACTCGAAATTTTTTTACGTGGTCTCAGTTTTGGCAGAGGACTAGCACCATTACGTTTATTAAAGTTTTCTGTTGACTTCAGTTTATCCTTGGCGGCCACCCTTCTGACCCTATCAATGTCTGGCCAGCGAGGCAGGAGTGCACATGACAACACACGCAGCCTAGTGTGTAATCTGCGCCCCTGCAGCAGCTAGGCGGGGGAACAGCCGGTAGTGTACAAAGGCGTGTTTCTACAATTCATTAGAGCAATCCAAGTAAGCGTCTCAGACAGGTCTCAGACACATTGACTGGTCTCAAACACTAACAATGTCTTCGCAAGAGGATACCACAAAGACCGAATCAACTAGCACTTGCTGAGACGAATTTCGGCAATTCCGGGTCAAAATAAGCAAGGGCTGGTTCGTTTCGAAGAACACTCGTAATCTTACGAAAGGCAGCTTCCTGTTGAATATCCCAAGCCCAACACGAGTCTTTCTTTAAACGTTCGTGCAATGGTATTCCGTACTTTGCGCATCGGGAACAAACTTTGTGAGAAAATTTAGTATTACCAAGCACCTCCTGGTTTCAATCACGTTCTGAGGAGCACTCAGGTCATCCAAAGCTTTACTTTCTCAGGGCATACTTCAATGCCCTGCGCTCTGACAACATGCCCCACTTTAGGCACATTGCAAATAAATTTATCCCTATTCAACTTCGACCCACAGTTCTTTATTCTACGTAATACCTCCCTCAGCGCTCTATCATGATTCTCTTTACCTCTCCAAAACACGATCACATCATCCATATACACAACATTGCCCTCTACTCCCTCCAATAACATGCTAAGTTTCTCTGCTGGTGAACTTCGGGGGCAAGGCTGATTCCCATTGGCAAACGCTTAAATTGACAGCGACCGAAAGGGGTTATGAACGTCGTGAGAGCACGTGATACTTCACAAATCTGAATTTTGAAGATCCCAGACGCAGCACCGAGCTTTGAAAAGCAACTAGCTCCAGAAAAATAGTATGATAGTTCGTTGAATGTTGGATTTTGAAAGGTTTCTCTCATAAGAGATCTGTTCCTTTCCACGTAAATCCTTGCTTTCTTCTTCCCAGATTTTAAACTAGTGACAACTGGAAAAACGGCGCTTACCCAGTTGGTTGGACTCGAGACAGATTCAATCACACCTTCCCTTTGCATTCTATCAAGCTCGGCCGCAGCAGTGGTCTCGAAGGCACAGCAACACGACGAGCAAAGTGCAACTTCACAGGATCGAACCTGGGCTTCAAGTGAAACTTTACAGGCTCCGTGCGCCAAACCCCGAACCCAAACAACAAATCGTCAACGGTGACATCATCGATAAATTGTACAACTCCTAACGTACAGGAGGCTTTTCTGCTCAAAAGATTCGACGAACAATGTTTAGAAGTCAAAATATTGTCTCTGTGCAATTGGCACCTTCATAAAACGTTCGTCAAGTCACTTTACCTAAAACAACCAATTCCACATTAGGAGTAATTAACTTCTTATCAGAGGGCCTTGGACAAGGTGGATTAGTCTTATTGATAAAAGACTCGAAATTCAGGATGCCCACATCGGTACCTGTGTCTACTTTGAATGGGAAGGTTTCATTCTTATTCAATTTATGATCTATTACCCCTTTAGAATTACCCTCAACCCCACATTCACCTATAAAGTAAGTTGGTTCGGTTTTGTCTTCGTCCCTGGAGTCCGTACGTGCGTCGACGTCGATGATTTCGTTGATTCCTCTACGTGCAGGCGGCAGGCGCCTGGAAAGACCTGGCCCCAGAGCTCCCGCTTCGACACGCTCTGCTAAAGTGCTTGTCTCTCCCACATTTGTAGCATCTTCTTCCTGCCGCTGGACATGTTGGGATCATGCTCACGACAGTTGGTGCAAGGAAGTCCCCTAAATCGCTAACCCTCGATTCCCTCGTTGGCGCACATCTAATGTTTTGGGGTTGATGCCGCACATTGACCGCATCGATGCTTTTCCGCTCCTCTGCCCGACGTCCCTCTCTCACGTTGCCGTATGATCTGGTGAACTCTATAACCAAATCCAAGGTGAAATTTTGCATATTACTCAATTAGAGATGCTCCAACTTCTTTGTCAACTTTTCATCTCAACAAACTGGTCGCGTATTCTCTAGCGCTGCTGCTAAAATCACAATCCCGAGAAAAAAAACGGTAGAGTGCACAGAGGTGAGATTCCTCATTCTCATTCTGCTGTTGTACTCTCCGCTAATATATTCGTCTTGGTCGAATTATGTTTACCTTGGGTTTAAAATAATCGTCATACTTCTACATTATCTCTAATTTTCTACCGTCTGTTTCACCGAGTTCGAAAGTGTGAAATATGTCCTCTGCCTCAGTTCCCGCACAGTACTTGAGACTTGCAACTTGTGCACCCTCGCCTAAAATTGAGAGGCGCCGGTGATCTATACTGAGCCATTTCAAAAGTCTACCGTGAAATCACTCCTATCACGGTCGCCACCCGGGGTACCATGTATGGCCCAGCGAGGTAAAAATCACTGACACAAACAGGGATGTGTATTTCCAATACCAGCCCGACACGTATAGTTCAGCGAGACGAGCTGCGTCCCTTGACCACAACTATATGCATCGCGGTCACAGCAATGCAGTCCCTCATGTCGTACAGAACTTTGTTATGAAGTAGGTGAACAGACTGGCACGCGCACGCCTAGCTGTGGCATGTGGTTTGGGCACGAATTATTTAGTAGCTGAAGGTGTGCTCGGGGGTGATGTGGTTCAGTCCTAGGTGGTTGGTGCGGTGTCAGCCGAGCCGAAGTTTCACGCGACCGTGACTAGCCCGGATCGGTCATGGTCAGCCAAAACACCTGTTTCCACGGCATGCACAGCGTTAAGATATGGTGAGAGAATCGCGGAGATTTATAGCGGAGAAGACTACGAAGTCAAGAGATACTTTCTGAGACATTACGAAGAATGAGTACCGGAAGTGCGACTGTGGTTGCGGAAGCGCTGTTTTGCGGTTCAACTTCAGACATTTTAACTGATCTGCCAGGATTGCAACAATCTACGCCAATCAGAGCCTTACGCTCCAGAGGCGCAGTAGCGGATTTACCCTACGTACAAAATAGACTTGAAGCATCGTAAACGGCAGCATTAGACGTAATAGGCAATATTTAATGTATAAAATGATATTTGACATTGCCTATACATACTATTCTTTCTGTATAGAGACAATCTTTAGCAACCGCTGGTTAAAAAATTAGGTCGACGAGTATCGGTAGTAATCGTATACATAATCGTAGTAATCGTATAAACGCCTGCCAGTTGCGCGCAAACGACTAAATGGATCATTCAGTGGCCTTTGATGTCGGGTCTCGTAAAAATTTACTAGATTTAAAAAATTTCATCGTTGAAGGGTTAAGTAATTTCGAGAAGGGAGGGTAACTGGTTGTTGCTATGCTTTGATATGCTCTACTGGTTTTGCCAATTATTATTTGTGTGACTAGATTAGATTATACACACTCACTTTTGCTTTTCTCTTTCCAGACTCGTAGATATAAGTTCAATTATATAGATCCTGGTCCTGGATTGGCACCACAATGCGTAAGTAAAGAATAGCTACTTATATTAAATATCAGTCTGCTTATATCGCAAGTTCACAGAGTCAGTCTGTGTCCCGCCAGTCCCCGTTTTTCGATTCAATGTTCGGTCTCTTTTAGGTTTTCTGTCTGACTTACAATTTTGACTTATAAAATGATTGTATTCATTTATAGTTTGTTGAACTGATGATGGAGCTGGACTCCGAAACGTTTTCAATATCGATGTGGTGAATTTGCTTGGCGTTTTCTTTGCTTTTAAATTCCTAAAGAATGGCTCAGAAGTTTTTATTTAAAAAAATGGCCCAATGGTTAGCAAATAGTAAGTGCTCTTTGTCTCCGCAGAGCCTTGGGGAGAAATTACAAAATTGTTGCAAAATCAACAGCAACAACAAAATACAGAGAACCAGCAACTACCTCAACATGTGAAGCCTCATCAGCAAATGCTGCAGTACATGCTGCACAAAATTCAAGAGCTGGAACAAAAAAATAGAGGTAAACACTTCAAATTAAATATTCTTGTATAGCATTGACGTTTATAGATTATGTTTACCAGATAACGTGTTTTGTTTGGATATACCTACGTCTTCAGATTATAAAAACTATATTATAACCCTACTACTAATTCTTGGCAACCCTTCTAATTTGAAAATTGTAAGCTCCCCTTCACCCTACGAATTTTCACATGAAAATGATGAATGGTATTCATATTGTTATAACTTATAACATCATTGACACATTGTTGTAATATCATAGATTTGTATCATGTTAATATTTTTGAATATGCAGCAAATGGCTGCTGTACTGTCCATAACAGATGCTGACACAGAGAAGAAGCAGAAGCTCGTCCGTGGAGCAGCAACTCGTGCAGCTCAGGCATGCGTACAAGCGCCAGCGCGAAGACAGGTGAAGAGCAATTTGATACGACAGACAGTGACTAATTCACTTTTTCTAAGTGCTTATACTGTGGCCAGCATCAGAGAGGCCCACACAGGCTGCTAGTTAGTTGATGCTCAACCAACGTTTACTTAGCTTTTGGGATTTTTATAGATGGAAAATTTGTTTAGAATAGAAAGAATAAGTAGCTGCTCGCAAGTCCCTTCTCCTCTTAAGGAAGCACTTTAATATGTGGCAGGTGCATCTGCACAAAGTCATCTTCATGATTTGGTAACTAACATCTCACTCTCTGGCGGCTTGCGGATGTTGACTGGACATTTCTTCTTATTGATTAAATATCAAATTCGTTAGGTGCTTGATTTTCTTAGTGGTCTGCTGTGCAGTCTTCAATTTATTCTAAAGCGACATTAACTGCGCAGCACAGTTGACTCCAACCTCAATAATTTTTCTAGACAAGAAATAAGGAAAGAGGTTGATGATTTGCAGGACCTGCGTTTGAAACTCGATTTAGCCAATGAGAATGTATCCACGGGCTTGTGGATTTACGAAAAAGACAAAGGGGTGCTGGACAGAGTTGGAAGATTACGATGCTTACGATTCAAAGCTAATTGCTGCCGTAAGGCTTTTAGAGGGCAGGCTGCAGGTTACAACTTCCGCATCTGGCCATGAGCAATTTTGTGAAATTAACCGCGTAAGCAACCAGCTAAGGTTACCTCAATTTACTCTCCCGACTTACCGCCATTCTAAAGATGAGATCCTCTGAAGACTTTTTTTGCCAAATTTGGGAATTTAATGAACAAGTATACGTTGTCAAACTATGAAAAATTTGTCTTTCTGGGGAATCAGGTCAGCGGGGAAGTTTCAACTCTAATTCAATCTCTCGAAGAGGCCAACCAGTCATATGATGCAGCCAAGGATCTCCTCACTTAAGCTTTTGCATCCCTTCTTACCCAGAAGTACGAGATAATCGAAAGATTCTCAAGCTGAAGGATGGCGGAGATCCATATGCCTTTATTAGGGAGATGAGTTATTATGGATGTCTCTAAGACACTGCAAATAGATTCGGAAATGATTCTTCAGTAATTCATCTGGAGCGGAATGAATGAATCTATGAAGCAACACTTTATCACCATCACCAATAGCAATTAGTCTTCTCTTCTTTACAGGATATAACTGCGAGCTCGGCGGTAGACGTTTGGGGTAGACCAAAGCCCGTCAAACAAGCGCCGACCACCACCTACAATATATAATTGCATCTTGTACTCCAAGCATGGTAAGGAGTCTTCACACCCCATGTTCAAATACCTAATATCGCTGAACTTGGATTCGCACATTTTATACAGGCATTAGTTGAGCCAAGTTCAGCGAGTCACAAATAAAGCAGCTGCATTCAAACGTTCATGCAAGCACTGTGCAGGCCAGCATTTTACTTTCCTCTATGCGAAGCGTATTAGGAGTGTACTCCCTAGTGCAAAGACTGCGTCCGGGCTATCTGCGTCGCAGCCCTCGGCTAAACAAAATGAAAAAATTAGTTGCGCGGCTCTAGTGCATTCACAAATTCTGCACCTGCGATTTGGAGATGCGGTGATTCTGCCAACATTTTCGGCTTGGCTGAACAATGGTCGTGAGATACGCGGACCTGAAGATTCTGGGTGTCATTAAACTAACTTCATTTCATGTAATGTAGCTGATGGAGAAAAGCCCAGGGCTCTGAAGAGGATTTTCCCCTGACCATTAACGGTTTTAATTCGTCAGGGAGTGTAGATACTTAACTGGTAGAAATGAAATTTTTTTTTGCCTCGAAACTTCACGCGTTGGAAGCCGTCGTTCTGCCAGAACTTCCTACTGTTCATAATTTCGTTGATGAATATTATACGCTGGGCGATGATTATTTGATTGGTGGCAGAGACCAAATTTCAAACATTGACTTGATTCTAGGCGCTGGCGCCAGTCACTGCCTACCGTGCAAAACCGTCGCTTATGGTAAGCATAGTCGATCGGTATACCTTGATTCAGCTTGCGCCGTTCTGCACATTGGTTTGATTGACCAGAATTTGCGGAATTCTGGTGCGTTACCCATGTTTCATGGTGATCATAACAGTCCGGCGCTAACCTCTTCTAGGCAAGTGACTACACCCGCGGATGTTTCTGGCGATGAAACATCCAGCGGTTTACTAGAGGGATCGATTCTCAAATTTAATTGGTGCACCAGGAAGGTGTCGCTGAATAGCGTTACGATCGAGTCAGAACTCGAAAAGCCGATTGTGCAAGCGCTAGACGTATTGTGTTCGGGAATTTTAGAGAGCGCAGATGTAGAGACGGGGAATCGGGCGGGCTTTAAAATGCGTCGGTAGAGAGAATCATTTCGAACAGCACTCCAGACGACAGTGGGCGAATAACTATGCCAATTTTGTGGAATGACCAAGTGGCCCTCAATAAGATAGGAGTTGTGCAGAAATCTTCAGGAAATATGCCGCATCACCGAGCCAAGAGATGGTGCTTCACATATTACTTTCAATATGAAAATGAGATTAGCACTGTGTTTGAACAAATCGGACTCGATCAACGTCTAAAGCGCCTAGTGATGGGTATTG